TTATTAGACAAATTAAAGTCATTCGAATTTTATGTCAGTCTTTTGTTTATGAAGAATGTTCTTTACAAAGTGAAGATTGTGGTGATGGAAGTGCAAGAAATCGAGCAAGATATCCTAGCGAGTGTCGAAGTACTACAGCAAACCCGAAACGAAATGCTTCGCATGCGAGAAGATGATGTTGCTATGGAGGGAATTATATCAGCAGCAACAGAGAAATGCGAGTCCTATGGAATCAATGTGGAGTACAAATTTTCAAAACGACACCAACTACGGAGAGCAACTGCCCGTTTCGACGAAAATTTTGCCAATGCTACTGTGCCTAGCTTTAGCCAACACTATCGGAAAGAAATGTTTAAGGTATTAGATCGTCTTGTATCGGACATAAACGAAATTGATGAACATTTATCTGATATTGTGCTACCTGAAATTATTTTGCTTCCAGCAAATTTACCCAATTGTTCCAAGCAAGATGTGGAAAATTTATGCGCAGCATTTCCACAAGACTTCAGAGATCCAGATGCTATGTGTACAGAGATTAAGTTGATATCTTCAGATATCGAGAAAAGCGGTGCCAAAAATCTGAAGGAAGCAGCGAAGTGTGTACTTGGAAAACAACAGTTTCATCCCAACCTGACGAAAGCGTACCAGCTTGCATTAACAATTCCAGTTTCTGTCGCAAGTAATGAGCGTTCATTTAGTAAACTAAAACTTGTTAAAAGCTATTTGCGATCAACGATGAAAGAAAACCGTCTTGACGTCTTGATGATTTTAACTTCATCTGTAGATATATTAGACGAACTTGAGTTGGATAAAGTAGCTAACTCGTGGTCTTTATATAAATCAAGAATGATAAAAATCTAGTTTTGCTAAAATAATTATTAATTCCTAAGGTATATGATATGTGCGATAGGTACCATACTTGAAAATTACCAAATATGTATACTCAAATTAAAACTTTTATCCTATAAAAATTTGTATTGTAATGTTCGACAATTGCAAAGGGAGACGCCCTTTTCGTCGGTAAAAATGGGATGCTACCCCCCCACACACACACTAGAAATGGCCCAGGAACGCCACTGTAATAAAATCGTGACATTTAGCAATAATGATTATCACTAGAAAATTAGTTAGCCACTATTAACGTATTAGCCAAGACAGTAAATTCAGCTTTTAAGTTTGAGGTTAGCGTTTGCGGTATACATTTTACACATGGATCCTGATACGTTTTATTTCTATTTTTATAATATGAATTTTAATACACATGCCCTTGAAAACATTTCTGTATATTTGAATGTTCAAAGTTGTTGAAAGCAATTAAAGTTGTTGAAAAGGTGTTGAAAGCAATTTGAAAGCAAGAGTAGACGTATTACCAAATCACGAATTATCACGCCAGCGAGACTTGCTAGGAAGATGGCAACCGTGGGACAACTTTTTTACTGAAGTTACACCAGCGAGTTACACATGTAAGTACGAACTCCCAAAGAGCGTCAAGTATGCTTTCAAATAAGTTCCGGCACTCGTGAGATGCTAGGATTTGCATTCAGATTTTAAAAAAAGGCGGTGATTTGTTGGCGCCGTAGACTATAGTTTCAATAGAAAGTTTTTAAAAATGTAAATAATCAGAAATTGCTTTATAAAATCTAAAATAGCTTTGACATGCATTTCTGAACTGCGATCGGAAATCTCCGAGTGGACAGGCTACTCTTGGTAAACATCGAACGATGACGTGACCGGTGTTTCATCCTTCTATTATTAATGATCTATTATTAAAGTACTATTACCTCATACGCGCCCGCATTACTTAACTGTTGTCTGTTGAGGATTCTATAGTACTTCATATAGATAATATTGTATGCTCTTTCTCAGTTGACATTCTTGCGAAGAAATATTTATGCAAATCTTTTTATAACACGTTCTACTATAGGGTCCAATATTCTATTTAACAAAATTTGAGAGGAAAATGAAAGAAAACACTAAAAAATGCAATGAATACAGCCATGACTGTGGAGAAATTATACATAAATGTAATAATTCTGCATGAAAACAAGAATTCCTTTTCAAACATGATAAAAATTGGTTAAAAACATAAGAATAATTGCAAATGTGGACAATGACAGATTTCATGTTTTAATAGGAAAATCACATCAAATGCATGTTAAAAATGACTGGAAATATATTCAGCAAAAACATACACATTTTGCAACAATTTTAGCTTTTCCAAGTTGTAAGATATGACTAAAATGATACTAAATCTCTAAGAGGAAAAAACTGCTAAAAAATTTGGGCAAAATTTATTGTTTTTAGCAAAGTGAGTAAAAGGCATGTGAATAAAAGGGAAAAAAAGAGGAAAATGTTATAGTTCCAAAACATGTCTGGAGGCAGCCACAGTCAGTGAAAATTATATATCAAGAACATGGCACATGCCACATTCGATATTCCGAAAACTCTAAACTATCCAATGCTTCGATATACTGGTATCGAAAAAATGCCATTTCTTCGATATATTGAAAGATTGCAATTTCCTCGATATATCGAAAGAATGCCATTTCTTGAATTCTTCGATATATCAAAAGAATGCCATTTCTTCAATATATTAAAAGAATGCCAATTCTTCGATATATCGAAAGAATGCCATTTCTTCGATATATCGAAAGAATGCCATATCTTCGATATATCGAAAGAATGCCATTTCTTCGACATATCGAAAGATTGCAATTTCCTCAATATATCGAAAGATTGCAATTTCCTCGATATATCGAAAACTAAACTATCCATGGCTTCTATATATTGAAAGAATGCCATTTCTTCGATATATCAAAAGATTGCCATTTTTTCAATATGTCGAAAATTCTACACTATCCATGGTTTCGATACATCAAAGAAATGGCATTGTTTCGATATATTGCAGAAATGACATTCTGTCAAATTCAATATGTGAAAAACCAAAAGGATGTCATGTCTTGCCAAAACAAGCCATGTTTTAAATATTGATAGTAAAACAACAAAGTAGGGCACAATTCAGCTCAATGGGTTAGCAATATGGTATACACTCAAAATATAACACATTCTACGATAAGGTTGCATATTACGATAAATTTGCATAGCTATAATCAAAATAATCACATGTACAGTCAGGGCCGCCAAGAGGGGGGGGGGGGGCAAATTGCCCTGGGCCCCC